TTCCCGTACGCGAAAAGTTTGCAACCTCCGAAATTCTCGAATTCGCTTAAGACAAACGCTATTTTGTCTTATACTCGAAGTATATTTACATCCGTAACGAGTCGCAATGCAAATTTTTAATATATCAATTTTAATCAATATAAACTCATAAATAATGAAATAAAATTCAGCCATTAGTTTAACCATCCACAAAAAACAAACTAATTTATATCCTTTTTAAGAAAAATCATTTATACGTGGCTTCCACGTGCCCACGTTTGTGACAATCCGTATAATTTCCCTGCGCGAAACCTACTACACATGATGCCCAACCCCTGCACGCGAAATTGCCTTGCACCTATTAGAAACCTTGCACGCGTGGCTTTCTTGCCGTGATGTTGCACCCAGGGTACAGACTCCTCGATCAACTTTCTTGAGGGCCAAAATGCTCCCAAAAGTGAACCTGCATGGCAAAACATACTCTGCCCAACAGAGCACTCCAAGATTTTAGGCCAAAAACAGACAGTGCGAAAGCAGTGGACGAGCTTCGCACGACATCCCGTAGATGTACGGGAGTCACGAAATGCCACGTCCGACGGGTCATGGTGGCCCAAACAGAATGTGGCTCAGATCACCTTGCCACCTCTACCTTGCCCCTGCTCGGTACAGGCCCCCCGATAGCCTCACATTTAGGCCACGCAGCACGTCACTTCTTCTGGCCGTAAGACGATTGTAGCCCAATCCCTTCAAAACAAACCCGATGCATGTGCACACAACTCAAGGAATGAACCCACCGTAAACCTTGCTGTGTGTATAACTCACACTCCACACACTAACGAGGCAAAAAACCATAAAGAGTGACTGGAAATTCAACTCCAGTTACTCTTCTTCCTCAACACAGAGGCAAACCACGCCTCGACTCTACCACCGAGCTCAGCTCGCTCTTAACATCAAGCGCGCGATATGCAAGCACCACGTCGACCATCCCCAGCTGCGTCACGTTGACCTCGCACGATGGTGCTTCACGCGTTTCGGTGTGCGGCCCGACCGCTCAACCATCGGCCGTGCTTTGAAAAGCGCCAAGTGTTGGAAGGTGGGTGACGCGGCTGACAACGCCGTCCGTGTGCGTGGTGGTGCGCATCCGGAGCTGGAGCGCGCCATGGCATGATGGACTGCTAGAGCGGGTCCGCCTGGTGTGCCACTCACCCTTACTACTATTCGCGACCACGTCACGTTCATGGTACGCTCTCAGGGCCTGCCCGCCACCTTCCGCTGTTCCATCGGGTGGGTACGTCGCGCACTTCGCTGCCAGGGTGTGAGATGCATGAGCGCGGTTGGCGAAGCTGGCGACCAGGACATGACGGCAGTTCGGTTCACTCGGGAGACGCTCCTGCAGCTCCTTATATATTTGAACGTGCAGCTGCGCGACACCTTCAATTTCGACGAGACGGCCCTTTACATTTCCGTCTTGCCGCGCAAGACGTATGTCACCAGTCGTGTGGCGGGAAGGAAGGTGGGCAAGGAGAGGCTCACCATTGGCTTCCTCGTCAACGCAGACGGCTCGAGGGTGTTCCGTCCGCTGGTGATCTCGAAGGCAAAACGTCCTCATGATTTCCGCCCCGAATACGACCCGGAGGAGTTGTGCTATTGGCGCAACACCGCCAAAGGGTGGATGACCACCTCGGTAAGTCAAATCATTCTCGTTTTGTAAATGCTTATGCCATTTATTTCAAGCATCCCCATGTTTGCGCTCAATTTTCATGCCGTTAGTTTGTCCCTCCCATCACATGTTTTTGCCCCTCCGCAGCTCTTCACCCATTACATTGAGCAGATGGATGCGGCGATGTATGCCGAAGGGCGGCAAATTGTGATTTTGCTGGACAACGCCAGCAGTCACACGCTCACTACCGAAGGCGCAGCCACTGAAGATTTATTCCGCTTCCGCACGCGCAAGCTCGAGAACGTGCGGCTGGTCTTCCAGCTGCCCAACATCACGTGCTTCACCAGCCCCTTAACCGGGGCCTTATTGGCCTTATTGCCATGGCGAAGGCAAGGTACCTCGCGTATTGGCTGCGCAAATTCACCTCCATGTGGGCGGCCGAAGGCGCGACTTCTGCCGCGGCGAAGTTCCGCCCGAACCTCCGCGATGTCATTGCATGGTTGAGCGACGCCTGGATGAACATCCCGGGGAGCACCATCCAGCGTTGCTGGTGGCGCACGGGATGCCTTTTGCGTGTCTGGGCCATGGACTTGGCGCATGTGGATGCTGAGGGTGCCCGCGACCCAGCCAGAGTGGCAGACATCGGGCTCGACGCCGAGGTCAACGACGTCGGCCTACTCATCGACCATCTTTGCCTCGGCTCCAGCGCGATGGCGGCGGCGGATTTTCGTGGCGGTGGACGACAACCAGCCCACTTGCGCGGAGCCGGGTGATGATCCTCTCGCGGTGGAGCCGCTGCTGGCCCCTTCTCCTCCCACGTGAAGCCGCCCACGACGATGCAGGAGGTCTACGACGATGAGAACCCAGCGCCTCGCGAAGCGCGGCGCACGGCACGAGCGGCATGCGAAATGCTCATTGGTTACACGAGGGCGAGCTGCATCACCCCGCAGGACTTGTGCGCGCTCTTCGACATCCGCAACCCCATCATCTGGGAGCGGATGGAGCGCGCAAGCCTGCTGCTGAATCTCAATTCGACCTCGCCTCCCGCCATGACCCTTGCCTCCACCCCGGAGGCTGAGAACCCCGTCCCCGTGGCAGGGTCCTCCCGGCGTGGATGACGGTGCCTACTACGGACTGGGTGGCGCTGTCAGCTCGCCGCTAGGAGCTCATGGACACAGGAGCACCGGTCGTCATGAGGGGCTACATCGCGGCCGCAGAATGGATGAGGCTCTGACTGAGTTTGAGCCTCCAGCAAAGAGGCGGGGGACTTGCTCCCCTGCAGAATGTGCACGACTTGTGCACAATCGGCACCTGGGGGGATGAAATGTTCATATGTTTTGCATGGGTACAGGTGGGGTTATATCGTTGGCTGGCTTGTTGGGTGGAGATGTTCATGACAAAGGGAGTCATGAAATGTCCCAGTATGCAATAATGTATGGGCAAAAATGTGGTAATATCGTTTGAGCACTACCAACAAACGTCGTCCCCCGTCACTGTTTAGGAAAAAACAAATGAGTTACAACTGGTGTTTTTTACAAGCACCCAACGCCTTTGGTGAAACTGGTCGAACCCACCGAATTGACAGAATCGCTTATAAGCCCAGACCACAGGGCGAAGTCGGGGGACTCTAGTGAGCATCAGCTGTACTCAACACACCCCATTCGAGCAAACGCAATACCACACGTGCCTGAAGTGATTGGCAGGAGTTTGCTGACACATTGCAATTTCTGCGGGCTTCCCAATCGTCCCTGAGCCAGCCCCACTGATTCAGAGCTAACGGGACGGCAACTTGTGTGACAGCGCAAGTCCGGGATGATAGCTCCATGGAGCTTGGAGGGGAGTCGAAGAAGTTGGATGGCATGGCACGGCATGGCATGGCATGGCACATCCAGATGCGAGAACCTCCTGTAATTGCGCGGCGAGGTTTGAAAAAAAACTGGAATGGGGGGAACCAGTTTCAAATTCGAACCTCCTCTGTTCGCGGGTCAATGAGTGGCTGGAGCAGTCACATGGACCAATGTGCGATGGGTTTTGGCTGATGGATATCAAGGCGGCGGCGGCTCGAGAACTGACGAGCAATTTCCAGCCGCATGCGATGAGGGCTGGACACGTCATGCGACGGCTGATCCTGCAAAAGAGCAAATCAACTGTCAGATTGAAAAGTATGGCTGATCGACGGAGCACACCTAAATATTGCGGAAGCGAGATAATCGCACGAAAGGGAATGATCGCATGAGTGAAGCTGCGTGGGTAATCGCCAGCGAATGAGCCCAATCAACCATTGCCAGACGAGAGGCGCTGCAACGACGAACATGAGGGATCTAGCGCTTCACCCCAAGCACATCACCTCATCTCGCCAGGATTTCCTGACTCCACATATGTTTCAGCTTTAACCCATCCCACCGCCCGGCAACTTCAAATAAAGCACAAAACACCTGTTTCTTACCTTTCGTCTTCGTCGGACTGGACCAGAGCTATGTACTCATAACCCCAACAGCGTTTCATACCATCCTACCATTCCTCGGTCCAGTTTACGGGACAGGTAGCTAACTGTCCCTCAGTCCCTTAGTTGTCGCCATCATCCTTATTGGTTTGGTAGCTGCTATTTTTCACCATACCTATTATTCTTTTTCGTATCGTGATTCGCAGGCCAGAGCTGATAATGGCTTGGGCCCGCGATTTTCTTCCTAGGTGATACACCAACCATTCAGCCATATTACTAGCTCGCTCAACCACAGCCCTCCAACACAAACATCACTCGAAGACCAAACTGTACTCCGTAGTTTGTTCCGTTAACCTGCAACGGGTAAAATTCGCAAGCCATTTACCTCAAATTAGTCAGCAACAGCCTCAAATCGTGCATCTTGTTTCATATCTAGGAGCCGCTGACGTGATCTCGTGAGTGTGTGGTGCTGAGTAGGACAATACTGACGAACCTCGCCATATTAGAATCACAGAACCCATGGCCACGCGATGGATGCCGGCACACTCTCGAAACGACAGAGCTGCGTCCAAGCCAGCAGCATGCGGAGGCGGACAATCAACCGGCACCCGAGTAGGAACTACTACTCGCGGATCAAACGTGACTGAAGCGTTGAAGTGCGCAGCTGATGCACCCTCTAAAGCATTAGCGGGTGTACCCGCGGGTGTTCCGGCTGGTCGCGGAGCCGGTCGGGGTGTCGGGAGAGGAACAACAGCAGATACGCCCGCCGGACGCGGTCGAGGCAGCACGGGTATCGGACGAGGCGACGCTAAGACGGTTGGTCGAGGGGGGCCAGTCTCGGGATCCGCGCGGGGGAACCTCGCGAGCGGTCAGGCGGAACCCGCGCGGCAGATCGGCGCTCCGCATGTGTTTCCGCGGATGGGCCGCGGGGATATCCGGCGCGCGTACACGCTCGGGCGGGAGCTGGGGAAAGGCGGAGGCGGCGTGGTGCGCGAATGCCTGGACCCGTTAACCGGCCAGCCCGTGGCGGCCTGCAAAACCATTCCCAAATCAAAGCTCCAGGTACGGACTATTTTTTCTTTTTTTCCTCCGGTACTGGTGTTGTATTCGGAAAGTGTAATTTCCTGCTGTCCCTGTTCAGGCTTGTCCCTGTTCTTTTTTTCCAATTCGTAGTCCGTCTCACCCATGCGCAATCTGGCACAGCAATCACGCTCAGCCGCTCATCCCACCCACCCGTGTCACCCCCCAACTGTCGTCCCCTGTCCGGAATTCCGCCAATTTCTTCGCCTTCTCCCCAATCTCTCCATTCACCCGCCTTCCTCCGATCCCCCCAATTCCTCCTCTTCCCCCCCCCCCCCCCCCCCCCCCCCCCCCCCCCCCCTTCTCCTCCGCCCTCCCCCAGCGCCCGGACCTGGTGGAGGAGCTGCGCGCGGAGGTGGCGGCGATGCGGCGGCTGGCGGGGCACGCGCACGTGGTGCGGCTGCTGGCCGTGTACGAGGACGACCACGCGGTGCACGTGGTCATGGAGCTCTGCTCGGGCGGCGACTTGTACGACCTGCTCACCGCTGCTACGACTTTACCAGAGCCGATCGCCGCGCAGCTGACAAGGTGCGTGTTGAGCTCGGTTCCTGCCGTGTCGTTGTCTCGTTACGCGTTGAAATATTCGCGCGCTGCGATGAGAACGCGTTTCCCCGTTCTCGTTGACTCTTCGCAACTGTTGCTGTTCTTCCATGTCGAAATTGCACTTCGATTTAGTCTCATCTCCCCCGCGTTCGCCCGTTTGAATCACCTTCCCCTGCAGTCAAATCCTGAAGGCGCTGAGTCACTGCCATCGCAACGGCATCCTGCATCGCGATATCAAGCCGGAGAATATCTTGTTAGGGAACCCAGTAACTGTACAAGACGGGCAGGTCGCAATCATTGACGCTGCTGTACCCGCTACAGAAGCAGCCACGAAAATAGCAGGGGAAACGGTTTCTACAGTACCAGCATCTGGTTCTTACGCAGAAGATGAAATTATGCAAGATGTGACTGTAGGCGACGGGCCTGTCAGCAGCACTGTAGCGTGTGCAGGCGGGGGTTCTGGTGACTCGGCGAGCCCCTCTACAAGCACACTCAGTACGAGTGTAATCAGCAGTACACCCAGTAGCATGTTAATGTCATCAGGTAGCGCCAGCACCGCCAGCAGCAGCTTTGGGGCGAGGGGGGGGGGACTGGGTGAAGGGGGGCGCGGAGCAGGGGAAGAGGAGGAGGAAGGGGCGGAAGGCGAGGGGAACACTCTGCATGTCAAGCTTGCGGATTTCGGGCTGTCTGTTATGCTTAAAACGGGGCAGCTTGCTGTGGGTATGCATGGCAGCAACGTGTATATGGCACCAGAGGTGGTATGCAGGAAACCGTATGGTTTGGCGATTGACTTATGGGGTCTTGGAGTTATCCTCTTTACAGCGCTCTCCGGTTACATGCCGTTTTGGGGTAACACGGACGAAGAGCTTTTCGTCCGTATCCTGCGCGGCCGCCCAGATTACACCAGCGATCCGTGGCCGTCGATCAGCGCGGAGGCGAAGGATCTGGTCCATCGGTTGCTCACCATCGATCCGCCGCGCCGGATCACCGCTGACGTGGCGCTGCAGCATCCGTGGATCTTGAAGCATTGCGGTGCATCTCCACCGTCCATTCCAGTGTCTCTCGGCAAGCCTGCTGGCGACAATCCCAAGACACCTGCTCACTCATCTCTTGCTGCTGGGGCTCCCTCTACCTCCATAGATGCCCCATCTTCTGGAGATTCTGCTTCGGCTGTCACTCCTGTTCCTGCCCATTCTGCTGCTGCTATTATTTCCCCGTCAGCAGCTGGTGCTCCTGCTGCTGCGCCTGCTGCTGCTGCTGCTGCTGCTGCTGCTGCCGGTGTTTCCGCAGCAGCTGCGCCAACCTCTCGCAGAGCACCATCCCCCATTCGTCGCCAGCCCTCGCCAATCCGCCGACCTCCATCCCCTGCCAAACGACCAGCCTCCCCAGCCAAGCGTGGTACTGCTTTTACCACTACTGCTGCTGCTGCTGCCGCCAGTGCTGCTGGTGCCAGAGCGACTGCTGTTACTCCTGCTGGAAAGGACGCTGCTGCAGCGAAAGCATCTGCTGTCTCACCACGCTACCCCTCGAAGACACGCCCTGCAACGACCCAGGTGGCCGCTGCTAGAGCTTCAGCTGCTGCTGCTGCCCGCGCTGCTGCTGCTGCGGCTAGAGATGCCTCAGCTTCCGGTGTGCCACTGCCCGGTGCTGCTGCACCCACCGCTGCCGCTGCTGCAGCTGCTGGGCGTTCAATGAAGGCGCCTGCTGCGCCCACCACACCGCTGCTGCCCAGCCGCACACGGGCAAACGTGCCGGCTGCTTTCAATGGCGCTGCAGCTGCACCTGTTGCTGTTGCTGGTGGTAAACGATCCAGTGTTGAGGATACCCATATGCACGCGGACACAAAGGCATTCAAGCAGCCGCAGCAGCAGCAGCAGCAACAGCAGCAGCAGAGGCGGAATCACGAGGCAAAGTCCTCCCCTGCACATTCTCCCACTATCTCCTCCGCTTCCTCTGCCGCCTCCTGTCCCACGCCCTTCACTCTCCCCAACTCCGCCACCCTTCCCACTCTCCATCCCCCTCACACTGCCGCTGTTCCTCTGGCACCATCAATGGAAGCCATTACGCTTCCAATGCCCATGCCTGCTGTGTCCCATCCAGCAGGCATTACTGCTGCTTCTCACCCAGCAGCCATCACCGTCCGCCCTTCATTTGTCAAGCCCATGCCTCCGCCTTCGCAACTCGCTTCGGCCACGCCTCCACCAGCAGCTTGGGCCGCAGCTCACGCAGCAGGATTCGCAACAGCCTCGGCGACAGGTTCGAAACCAGCCTCGGCAGGTGCATTGGCCCCAGCAGCATCCGAGACCGTGGAGGGTGGTGGGAGTGGGGGAGCCATGGTCGCTGCAGCTGTTTCAGCTGCTCATGCCGAACAACCTGCTGTGGCTGTGGTGCCGCCCTCTCTCTTCTCCACTCGTGGTTCTTCTGTTGCAGTAGCAGCAGCAGCATCAGAAGCGCCAGTGACAGCCGCAATCACAGCAACAACAGAATCCTCAGCGCTGCCCGTCGCTACCATGTGTGTTGATCATTCGGTGCCAGCAGCAGCCGCACCAATGTCACACACGCCTACCCCTCCTGCGCCTACGCCATTTGAACCTACCCCACATGCGCCTACCCCACATGCCCCTACCCCACATGATCCCACCTCCACCAGCTCTGCTGCCTTGACGGAGGTTGCTATCGAGCCTCTGAGGCGCGCCGCTAGAGCACACAAGGGCCGCACGGGAGTGTTTCGAGTGTCATCTGGCAGGAGGAGAGATGCCGCCCATGCAACAGCCGCTCCTGCACCCTCTGCTCCTGTTCCTGGCGCCGCCGCCACTGGTGCTGCTGCTGGTGCTGCTGGTGGTGGTGGTGCTGCTGCTGGTGGTGGTGGGTCCTTTGGCGCTGCTGGTGGTGCCATGGCCAGTGCTACAAGCAAACTCGCCTCCCTCTTCTCCTTGGGTGCTGCCCCAGCAGCCAAGGCACGGAAGAACGCTGCCGGAGCTGGCGTTTCAGGCTCGGGAGCGCCAGGTTCGGGAACGTATGCGTTGTTCCGAGCCAGGCCGTCAGGCCTGAGCAGCCCCTTCACGTTCTTCTCGCCCAAGAGGAAGATCCGAAAGTCGCAAGTGGTTGTGAACAGTGCTGCGGCTGCCGGGACGGCGGTGGCGGGCGGCGCTAGTGCGGGAACTGATATGGCTGTGGATGGGACTGGTGAGCATGGGGAGGAGGAGGAGGATGAGGAGGAGGAGGAGGAGGAGGAGGAGGTGGAGGAGGAGGTGGAGGGAGAGGGTGAGGGAGAGCAGGAGCAGCAGGAAGGCCAGGTGGAAGGCAGAGCAGGGTTGGCTGGGTACAATAGTGCCGTGCTGAGTGCAGCAGCCGCTGCTGTGCTGCACACCCACTTCAACGGCCAGGATGAAAAGCAGCAGCAGGAGAATTGCCAATCGCACCCTCACCAGCCTTGGCAGAGGAATGGGATGATTGGCAGCCTCGGCAGCACCGGAGCTGCGAGCAGCGTTGGCACCATAGCAGAGTTCCGGGCTCGGCTGTCCCCGGCTGTCACTCTTGACCGAACCGCCGCTCCCGAGCCTGTGGCGGTGTATTCCAGCACGGGAAGCGTGCTGCCAGCTGTCAGCGCAGCATTGGGTGGAGGGCACGCAGCGGAGAATGGGGTGGAGAGAGGAGGGATGGAAGTGGATGGGACATGCGAGTGGGGCATGTCAGATGTTGTGTCGGCCTTCTCGATTCTCCGGACTAACTCTATACATGGAGCTTCTGCTGCACTATCAGCAGAAGCACCGGGAGCAGTAAAGGAGGCCACTGGTGTAGCCACAGCTAGTGGCAAACCAGAGGCACTTGCAGGCTCGCATCTCGCGGGGGCTGCAAGAGATACCAGGAGTTTGCTTGGCAGGCATAGTGCGTCAGGTCGGTTCAAGCATCTCTTCTCAGGACATTAAAAAGCTGATACACATAATGTGGATGAATATTTATTGTGTTATTTTCAATCAAATAAGCTTGAGCCACTGTTCTTATAATCATTTGCAATTTTGCATAATTATCTAAGAGGAAAATCCACCAGGATAGTGAGGTGATCACAAGAGAAATATAGTTTCATAATGTTATTGCGAAACCATGCTCTCGCGAACATCCAACTTTCGTTTCCTAGCAATCTGGCGAAAATCGTTCGCAAGGGGCCACGTCTCCAGGTTTTAGGTCCATGCCACGTCCAATCCAGGTTGCAACACCCTGCCACGTCAGCAATCCGTCCTTCTCCATCCAGCCTTCGATCCTCCCCAATCCAATCCAACCTCTGTCAGCCTGCGCCCCGCGTTCCGGATTCCCCTGTTCCCCCAACTCCCCCAAAACCCCGCGCATCCATCCCTCCCCTGCTCGTCCTGCGCTCTTCCCCTTCTAAGCGCACCACCGCTCCCCACGCCACCCCTCCGCCTACTTCTCTTTCCGCCTTTTCCATCACACGCCCTTCCCTCACCCCTCTCACTCCTGGTCTGGGCGTTTCACTGCTCATTCTCTAAGAATCTCTGCATTTGGTAGTTAATTGCTGTCCTTGGAACGAGGCAGTAGCGGTCGTTTAGACCAGCGAGAGAACGAGAGCGAAGCGCAGCTTGAAACCCATTCTGCCTTAAACCATGGCTGCCATCGAAGCCACCCCAATGCTCCAGTCTCTCCGCCTCGACGCCGCGCTAGCGGCGCCGTCGCGCGCGACCGTCCCCGCCTCCTCCTTCGTCCGCCCGCAGATTAGCCTCCGGTCGAGCCGCGTTCTTAGCGGACGGCGAGTGTCGGAGCGTTCCGCGGTAGCTGCGCGCGTGCAGGCGGTGGCGGAGCTGTTTCCGTCCGTGGAGGGCGCGGAGGACGCGGGGGAAGCGGAGGAGGTCGAAGCGCCTGCAGTGAAGGCTAAGACGGGGAAGAAGGCGCTTTTGTTCAAGAGGGACCAGGTGCGAGCCGGAACAGATTTCGACGTTAGGGTTTCGTGTCGCTGTCCGATGAAATCTAGGGTTAGCCAAAATGCGATGCTCCTTCCGTGAGGATAAGGACGGGGCTGAGGACGCTGGGGTTCTCAGAGAGGCATTTGTGCTCAAGAGTCCCTCAGAGACATTGGGTTCGAGAGGGACCAGGTGCAAGTCGGAGCATATTCAACGTTCAGGTTTCCGCGGCTTACCAATGATGTTGGTCAGGGTTCTAACCTGAGTGTGCAGGGGTAGTCGGGAATGTGCTGCATTCGCGCTGCGCATGCCAGCATTTTTGAAGGGTCAGGCGCGCGGCAGCGCATATGAGGATTCCTTGATCGACCCGACGACGTTCAGGTTTAGCATGAACGTTGTTTACCCTACGTTACTCTACAACGCACTGTTCCGGCGCAGCACAGGGAAGGACTGCCGCACAAGAACAGGAGCGAGGGTTTCTCGAAACAAATGTAGGCTTCTGAAGCTCACCTTCCCCGAGTCTCTTGTTTCATTCCCGAATGTAACGGCTCGAGTACGTCTCCAGCCATCCGAAAGGTTGTTCTGAGCGGATAGCTGGTCCTTTTGGTCCCGTTTGGGAGGTGAAATCTAGGTAGCTCTGTACATGGGCACGCACAACCTGGTCAACCCCCCAGACCTGATCCGAGCGGTTCTTGAAGATTCAGAAGCTGCTTCACCGCAACAGCGAGTATGAGCCGGTGCCATCAAACCTTTACGTTCGCGCTGCTCTCGGTTTTAGGATTTTCAACCCTTCTGCTCTTCCTCCCCCTCCCACTGCAGACTCGATTCAAGCGGTTTCTGGAGATGCCGAAGCTGCGCGACCGCAACGGCAAGTACCGCCAGCGCGACCCGTATCTTTTGCTCGTGCTGCGTTCGTATTTCCCTCATCTCTCTCTTCCTCCCTTCCCCTCACCGTCCCAGACCCGGTCGAAGCGGTTCCTGGAGATTCAGAAGCTGCGCGACCGCAACAGCGAGTACGAGCCGGTGGAGGCGCTGGAAATCGTCAAGGCGACGGCTTCCGTCAAGTTTGACGAGTCCGTCGAGGCGCACTTCCGCCTGAACATCGACCCGAAGTACGCCGACCAGCAGCTGCGCGCCACGGTGCGTAACGAGGATGCTGTTATCGGGGATGTTATCAGCGGGGATGTTGTTAGCGGGGATGTGGTTTGCGGGATGAATTAGTCGACGGAATTTATTGGATGTGAAGGCGCACTGTAGGCTTAACAAATACTCACCAGCAGCCGCGCGCCACGGTGCCGATCAAGGATGTTGTTCGCGAGGATGCTGTTAGCAGGGATATCTATCAGGGGATTTAGACGGGATATCTCCGGGATGCTGCTAACGAAGATGCTGTCAGCGGGGATGACAATCTGTAGCTCGTATAGGGTTCGAGTGGGGCGCACAACTTACTCCTCAATGACCAACTGACCGAGAGAAGCGGGGAGCTTGTTCGGGTTGCTGTCTCCTACGGTCTAGATATATCTCATCTCAAGGGGAATGTGTGGTGTTGTAGTGCCTGAATCACGTTCTTAGCTAAGCATTACCGGTAACGAGAGCTCTGGTTCGGGTGGTGGTGCTCCTTCCTCTACTAGCCTCCCCTCAGCAGCCCACCTGTCTACTCTCTACTAGTCCTCTCCTAACCTCTCCTCCGTTGCCCACCCTCATTCCCCATACCCCCTCTTTCCCGCCCCCTCTCTCCCTCCCTCCGCCCCCACACCCGTAACCTTTCTTTCTTAACCTTCCCTCCTTGTCTTTCGCCTTTCTTTTCTTCCCTCTCCTCGCCCTTGTCACCCCCACCAGGTGTCGCTGCCCAAGGGAACCGGGCAGGTGGTTCGGGTTGCTGTGCTCACTCAAGGTACGCCTCCGTTTCATCTTTACTTCGTTTGTTTTTGTTTTTTTTTTTTTGTTACCCGTTTTGTTTTCACTGCATTTTTTACCCCGTTATCCGTGGACTCATTGTCATGGTAACAAGCTTTCGAAAAATAAATCACCGGACCAGCATTGAATCAAGGATCCCGTCCCCCTGTCGCTCCCTTGCTGCTGCTGCCCCTCATCCCCGCCCCCGTCACTGACCCCCCATGCTTGAGTGAGAAAATGGGGCCACGTAGGCGGCTGCTGTAATGGACTCATAAATTCGTCTTTTAAAACTGCGGCTAGAGAGCCGGCTTTTGGGGCGCCTCAAAAGGGCGCACAGGCGGGTGCTGTGATGGACTAATAAATTCGTCTCTAACCCTAAGCTGTCTCTGTCTCTCCCTCCGTCCCCACTCCCCACCCAACCCCTTCTCGCCCTGTCCACATTCCCGGCCCGTGAATGCCATGCCTGTCCCCCCATGCGCGCAGGAGAGAAGCAGAGGGAGGCGACGGACGCGGGGGCGGACGTGGTGGGCGCGGAGGATCTGATTGAGCGCATTGCGGGCGGCTTCCTGGAGTTTGACAAGCTCGTCGCCACGCCCGACATGATGCCCAAGGTGCGCTGTGTTGCTTGCTCCACTTGGTCCGTTCTGAATCGGAGGCGGGGGCGGGCGGACGTGGTAGGTGCGGTCCAGAAGCTTCCTGGAGTTTGACAAGCTCGTCGCCACGCCGCACATGATGCCCAAGGTGCGCTGTGTTGCTTGCTCTACTTGGTCCGTTCTGAATCGGAGGCGGGGGCGGGCGGACGTGGTAGGTGCGGTCCAGAAGCTTCCTGGAGTTTGACAAGCTCGTCGCCACGCCGCACATGATGCCCAAGGTGCGCTGCGTTGCTTGCTCCACTTGGTCCGTTCTGAATCGGAGGCGGGGGCGGGCGGACGTGGTAGGTGCGGTCCAGAAGCTTCCTGGAGTTTGACAAGCTCGTCGCCACGCCGCACATGATGCCCAAGGTGCGCTGTGTTGCTTGCTCTACTTGGTCCGTTCTGAATCGGAGGCGGGGGCGGGCGGACGTGGTAGGTGCGGTCCAGAAGCTTCCTGGAGTTTGACAAGCTCGTCGCCACGCCGCACATGATGCCCAAGGTGCGCTGCGTTGCTTGCTCCACTTGGTCCGTTCTGAATCGGAGGCGGGGGCGGGCGGACGTGGTAGGTGCGGTCCAGAAGCTTCCTGGAGTTTGACAAGCTCGTCGCCACGCACGACATGATGCCCAAGGTGCGCTGTGTTGCTTGCTCCACTTGGTCCGTTCTGAATCGGACGCGGGGGCGGGCGGACGTGGTAGGTGCGGTCCAGAAGCTTCCTGGAGTTTGACAAGCTCGTCGCCACGCCCGACATGATGCCCAAGGTGCGCTGTGTTGCTTGCTCTACTTGGTCCGTTCTGAATCGGACGCGGGGGCGGGCGGACGTGGTAGGTGCGGTCCAGAAGCTTCCTGGAGTTTGACAAGCTCGTCGCCACGCCCGACATGATGCCCAAGGTGCGCTGTGTTGCTTGCTCCACTTGGTCCGTTCTGAATCGGAGGCGGGGGCGGGCGGACGTGGTAGGTGCGGTCCAGAAGCTTCCTGGAGTTTGACAAGCTCGTCGCCACGCCGCACATGATGCCCAAGGTGCGCTGCGTTGCTTGCTCTACTTGGTCCGTTCTGAATCGGAGGCGGGGGCGGGCGGACGTGGTAGGTGCGGTCCAGAAGCTTCCTGGAGTTTGACAAGCTCGTCGCCACGCCGCACATGATGCCCAAGGTGCGCTGTGTTGCTTGCTCTACTTGGTCCGTTCTGAATCGGAGGCGGGGGCGGGCGGACGTGGTAGGTGCGGTCCAGAAGCTTCCTGGAGTTTGACAAGCTCGTCGCCACGCCGCACATGATGCCCAAGGTGCGCTGTGTTGCTTGCTCTACTTGGTCCGTTCTGAATCGGAGGCGGGGGCGGGCGGACGTGGTAGGTGCGGTCCAGAAGCTTCCTGGAGTTTGACAAGCTCGTCGCCACGCCGCACATGATGCCCAAGGTGCGCTGCGTTGCTTGCTCCACTTGGTCCGTTCTGAATCGGAGGCGGGGGCGGGCGGACGTGGTAGGTGCGGTCCAGAAGCTTCCTGGAGTTTGACAAGCTCGTCGCCACGCCCGACATGATGCCCAAGGTGCGCTGTGTTGCTTGCTCCACTTGGTCCGTTCTGAATCGGAGGCGGGGGCGGGCGGACGTGGTAGGTGCGGTCCAGAAGCTTCCTGGAGTTTGACAAGCTCGTCGCCACGCCCGACATGATGCCCAAGGTGCGCTGTGTTGCTTGCTCTACTTGGTCCGTTCTGAATCGGAGGCGGGGGCGGGCGGACGTGGTAGGTGCGGTCCAGAAGCTTCCTGGAGTTTGACAAGCTCGTCGCCACGCCGCACATGATGCCCAAGGTGCGCTGTGTTGCTTGCTCTACTTGGTCCGTTCTGAATCGGAGGCGGGGGCGGGCGGACGTGGTAGGTGCGGTCCAGAAGCTTCCTGGAGTTTGACAAGCTCGTCGCCACGCCGCACATGATGCCCAAGGTGCGCTGCGTTGCTTGCTCCACTTGGTCCGTTCTGAATCGGAGGCGGGGGCGGGCGGACGTGGTAGGTGCGGTCCAGAAGCTTCCTGGAGTTTGACAAGCTCGTCGCCACGCCGCACATGATGCCCAAGGTGCGCTGTGTTGCTTGCTCTACTTGGTCCGTTCTGAATCGGAGGCGGGGGCGGGCGGACGTGGTAGGTGCGGTCCAGAAGCTTCCTGGAGTTTGACAAGCTCGTCGCCACGCCGCACATGATGCCCAAGGTGCGCTGTGTTGCTTGCTCTACTTGGTCCGTTCTGAATCGGACGCGGGGGCGGGCGGACGTGGTAGGTGCGGTCCAGAAGCTTCCTGGAGTTTGACAAGCTCGTCGCCACGCCGCACATGATGCCCAAGGTGCGCTGCGTTGCTTGCTCCACTTGGTCCGTTCTGAATCGGAGGCGGGGGCGGGCGGACGTGGTAGGTGCGGTCCAGAAGCTTCCTGGAGTTTGACAAGCTCGTCGCCACGCCCGACATGATGCCCAAGGTGCGCTGTGTTGCTTGCTCCACTTGGTCCGTTCTGAATCGGAGGCGGGGGCGGGCGGACGTGGTAGGTGCGGTCCAGAAGCTTCCTGGAGTTTGACAAGCTCGTCGCCACGCCCGACATGATGCCCAAGGTGCGCTGTGTTGCTTGCTCCACTTGGTCCGTTCCGAATCGGACGCGGGGGCGGGCGGACGTGGTAGGTGCGGTCCAGAAGCTTCCTGGAGTTTGACAAGCTCGTCGCCACGCCGCACATGATGCCCAAGGTGCGCTGTGTTGCTTGCTCCACTTGGTCCGTTCTGAATCGGACGCGGGGGCGGGCGGACGTGGTAGGTGCGGTCCAGAAGCTTCCTGGAGTTTGACAAGCTCGTCGCCACGCCCGACATGATGCCCAAGGTGCGCTGTGTTGCTTGCTCTACTTGGTCCGTTCTGAATCGGACGCGGGGGCGGGCGGACGTGGTAGGTGCGGTCCAGAAGCTTCCTGGAGTTTGACAAGCTCGTCGCCACGCCCGACATGATGCCCAAGGTGCGCTGTGTTGCTTGCTCCACTTGGTCCGTTCTGAATCGGAGGCGGGGGCGGGCGGACGTGGTAGGTGCGGTCCAGAAGCTTCCTGGAGTTTGACAAGCTCGTCGCCACGCCGCACATGATGCCCAAGGTGCGCTGTGTTGCTTGCTCTACTTGGTCCGTTCTGAATCGGAGGCGGGGGCGGGCGGACGTGGTAGGTGCGGTCCAGAAGCTTCCTGGAGTTTGACAAGCTCGTCGCCACGCCGCACATGATGCCCAAGGTGCGCTGTGTTGCTTGCTCCACTTGGTCCGTTCTGAATCGGACGCGGGGGCGGGCGGACGTGGTAGGTGCGGTCCAGAAGCTTCCTGGAGTTTGACAAGCTCGTCGCCACGCCCGACATGATGCCCAAGGTGCGCTGTGTTGCTTGCTCTACTTGGTCCGTTCTGAATCGGACGCGGGGGCGGGCGGACGTGGTAGGTGCGGTCCAGAAGCTTCCTGGAGTTTGACAAGCTCGTCGCCACGCCCGACATGATGCCCAAGGTGCGCTGTGTTGCTTGCTCCACTTGGTCCGTTCTGAATCGGAGGCGGGGGCGGGCGGACGTGGTAGGTGCGGTCCAGAAGCTTCCTGGAGTTTGACAAGCTCGTCGCCACGCCGCACATGATGCCCAAGGTGCGCTGTGTTGCTTGCTCTACTTGGTCCGTTCTGAATCGGAGGCGGGGGCGGGCGGACGTGGTAGGTGCGGTCCAGAAGCTTCCTGGAGTTTGACAAGCTCGTCGCCACGCCGCACATGATGCCCAAGGTGCGCTGCGTTGCTTGCTCCACTTGGTCCGTTCTGAATCGGAGGCGGGGGCGGGCGGACGTGGTAGGTGCGGTCCAGAAGCTTCCTGGAGTTTGACAAGCTCGTCGCCACGCCGCACATGATGCCCAAGGTGCGCTGTGTTGCTTGCTCTACTTGGTCCGTTCTGAATCGGAGGCGGGGGCGGGCGGACGTGGTAGGTGCGGTCCAGAAGCTTCCTGGAGTTTGACAAGCTCGTCGCCACGCCGCACATGATGCCCAAGGTGCGCTGCGTTGCTTGCTCCACTTGGTCCGTTCTGAATCGGAGGCGGGGGCGGGCGGACGTGGTAGGTGCGGTCCAGAAGCTTCCTGGAGTTTGACAAGCTCGTCGCCACGCACGACATGATGCCCAAGGTGCGCTGTGTTGCTTGCTCCACTTGGTCCGTTCTGAATCGGACGCGGGGGCGGGCGGACGTGGTAGGTGCGGTCCAGAAGCTTCCTGGAGTTTGACAAGCTCGTCGCCACGCCCGACATGATGCCCAAGGTGCGCTGTGTTGCTTGCTCTACTTGGTCCGTTCTGAATCGGACGCGGGGGCGGGCGGACGTGGTAGGTGCGGTCCAGAAGCTTCCTGGAGTTTGACAAGCTCGTCGCCACGCCCGACATGATGCCCAAGGTGCGCTGTGTTGCTTGCTCCACTTGGTCCGTTCTGAATCGGAGGCGGGGGCGGGCGGACGTGGTAGGTGCGGTCCAGAAGCTTCCTGGAGTTTGACAAGCTCGTCGCCACGCCGCACATGATGCCCAAGGTGCGCTGCGTTGCTTGCTCTACTTGGTCCGTTCTGAATCGGAGGCGGGGGCGGGCGGACGTGGTAGGTGCGGTCCAGAAGCTTCCTGGAGTTTGACAAGCTCGTCGCCACGCCGCACATGATGCCCAAGGTGCGCTGTGTTGCTTGCTCTACTTGGTCCGTTCTGAATCGGAGGCGGGGGCGGGCGGACGTGGTAGGTGCGGTCCAGAAGCTTCCTGGAGTTTGACAAGCTCGTCGCCACGCCGCACATGATGCCCAAGGTGCGCTGTGTTGCTTGCTCTACTTGGTCCGTTCTGAATCGGAGGCGGGGGCGGGCGGACGTGGTAGGTGCGGTCCAGAAGCTTCCTGGAGTTTGACAAGCTCGTCGCCACGCCCGACATGATGCCCAAGGTGCGCTGTGTTGCTTGCTCCACTTGGTCCGTTCTGAATCGGACGCGGGGGCGGGCGGAC